CTGGCCTAGGGGAAAATTTTTAATGGGGGTTTTAAAGTAATTTTAAATTAATTAGACCAATTATTAATATTTGTTTTTAATTATGTTTTAATCTGTAGTTTTGGGATTTGCATTTTTATCTGGTTGTTAGCCGCCCTGAGTCCGCAAGGAGAAGGGCGGGATATAAATATAAACAATAAATAAATAAATAAATAAATACTGAACAAGCACTCTTCGTTATTTAATATGATTCCATGATGTCTTATTTCAACCATCGATGCTTTTTCTTTAAAATATATGAAATATAAGAAAGCAGGGGCAATCAAACTCCTGCAGAAATGGAGGTGGTTACTCCTTTGTTAATCTGTTTTATAGATAGATTCCTATGTGTAGGAGGCATAGGGAGTGACCTTGACCGACAGGAAAAAGAGCTGCTTAAGCAGGGCTTGAGCTCAGGCCAGCAAAGTAATTTGAGAAAACGGGGCCTTCCCTAACTCATGTAGATGACCTGAGGGAGAGGGAAACACATTCAGACTTGCAAGATTCTATAACTATAGCTCAGTGATGGCGAATCTTTTAGAGACTGAATGCCCAAAAACTGACCCCGCCCCCGCTCCACCCCCTGCCCTGTCCCCATTCCGCCCCTACCCCGCCTGCCCGTAGGGCCACTCACCGCCTCCAGGGCCCGCCGCAGATCACCCAGCAGCACCATGGTGGCCACGCTCTCTGCCCGTGCCCCGCAGCATCAACTGTGCACGATGGGGCATGAGGGCAGAGTCTTGTCTACTCTGTCTGGCTGCCATGTCCTTGGCTGCACTGCTCCGCGTGGGCCACACTTGGGGGCGACTCTCCTCCAGGGGGCCTACTGGTGAGGAGGGAGTCGCGGGGGAGGCAAGGCTGGGGCAACGGCATGTGTGCTTACAGAGAGGGCTCTGAGTGCCGCCTCTGGCACCCGTGCCATAGGTTCGCCACCACTGCTATAGCTCTTACAATAAAAGTAGTCCCGTCCTATATAGCCTTGTTTTCTATATGATCTACTTTGTAAGGTTGACATATAGGTGTTTCTGTGAATCTGAACTTAGGAAAATTCTTTCCCCCGTTGCTAGTTAGTTAGTTAGTTAGTTAGTTAGTTAGTTAGTTAGTTAGTTAGTTAGTTAGTTAGTTAGTTAGTTAGTTAGTTAGTTAGTTAGTTAGTTAGTTAGTTAGTTACTTACTATGTTTGCTTGTTTCCAGTCTTTGTTTGGGTGTCTTAATTTCCCATTAGTTTAACATTTGGAGCATCGTAAAAGGCAGCTGGTGTTAATTGTTTCCTTTTGCAGGTTATGGGGAAAACTCTTTGGAAAACCGTTTGTGGAAAGCCTGTCTTCTCATCACCCCATTGTGACAAAGATTACGTGTATGTTGGCTGCGTGGATGGAAATTTATACTGCTTTAGTCACTTTGGAGAAAAGGTTAAAATTATTGTATTATTGAATAGTTGAAACTTCTACCACAATTAGTTGAATCTGGTTTTTTTTACTATTAACTTCAGATTTGGTTTTTATGTTGCCCATAGAAGCTTTTTCTTTAATATCTGCCATTTTACATCCCACAATAGTCCATTAAATATCTGTGAGGAGCCCCAAAATAGCACCAGAAGCTACAGCATTGTTTCAAACTTTCTCACAATATATACTGTAAGAATCAGGCCAGGTGCCAGAACGGTGCTTATATCAGGGCTTTTCAACCAGTGGTACGGGTACCACCTGTGGTACATTGGCACCTGGCAGATGGTACATGACCATCCTAGAAAAGTGGTAATGGGGGAGGGGAATGAGCTGAACTGGTGGCAGCACCGCACAAGCCTGAGCGAGAGATGGCTGGAGCTGCAGGGCGGTCAGGGCTCAACGGAAGCACCAGGATCAGTGCCGCTTTCCAGCTGATCGGCGCTTCGGGGCTGTCAGGGCTCAGTGGAAGCACCAGGATCAGCACCAGGATCCAGCTGGAGCTCGGTGCTGATCCTGGCACTTCTGCTGAGCCCAGAAGAAGCGCCGATCAGCTGGAATGTTGCAGCATCTCCAGGGTCTTATGGTTTACCTTCAGATGCTTGGCAACGGATTCATATTTATGACGGTCACAGTGTCCCAGGGTCATGTGACGTGACCAAAACCTGCTGCAACCACCCAGCAGACGGGGGGAATAAAAACCAAACACCCCCCACCCCACCCCCGCTGCCAATCCTCAACAGAAATGCTCACAACAGTGGAAACCTCAGACAGTAGGAAGAGCGCCGCTGTGTGGCAGGAAGGTGTCTTGCTCGGCTGTGGCTTGGGGGGCACTTTTTTCAGTGCCATTGTAACTTCGAACAGTCACTAAGTGAACTGTTGTAAGTCAAGGACTACCTGTACTTTATCACTTTTTTCCTCTCTTTTTTTTTGGTCATCAAGTTTGACCTTGCTAGGTGACTGGTGGTACTCGGATGTTGTCATATCCTAAAAGTGGTACAATGGGTGAAAAGATTGAAAAGTCTTGTCTTATACAACATGGACCTTGTATCAGTCATAGAGTGGGGCAATTTAGGATGGGTTTGAAACTCTCTTTGAGAAAAGAATACGGTGAGAATTTTGCTTTTGATTTGTAGTTCCAGAATACAGAAAAATACAAGACATTATCAATGCAAGCAAAATGGCACTCCTCTGGGTTATTTTTCTAATCCTTTGACACTTAACGTAGAAACTCTTGGTGGGAGAAAGGAAAATTGGATCCATTATTGATAGCTTCTCCATTAAAACAATACTGAATGTTGTGACTGGGTAGTTGGTTCTGAGATTGTGAGGAATTGAGATGAAGTCATTGTTGCTGCTGTCACACTTTCCTATGGCCCAGGATCTTTTTTCTATTGTACCCATGGTAGCCATCTGATATAAAGAGCCAACTGATTAATGTTCGTATCATTCTTGGTCTCTCTTGATTATACTTCATTTAGCGCCTTCCATTTCCATTCCTTTTTTTCCTCTTTGCTTCATTTCTTTTCACAATGCATTCTGCTCTTTTGAATTGCCTAAAGACATTTTTGAATTGCTCTTTAAAAATCCTTCTTTCTTGTTCATTTGTTCTTCCTGCCAATCGTTCATTATCATTAGCTTCTGTTTTTTCAACCATGTAAATAATTGCAAAGAATGCATACTTACGTGGCTTTGTCATTTTCCTGTGTATTTAAACATTTTGCTTTTTTATAACTATGTAAGCAACTCTCCCATATATATCTTGATCCCATTTGGGCTCTACTGATAGGGAATGGCTGGATGGCTCGATAGATAGATAGATAGATAGATAGATAGATAGATAGATAGATAGATAGATAGATAGATAGATAGATAGATAGATAGAGATAGATAGATAGATAGATAGATAGATAGATAGATAGATAGATAGATAGATAGATAGATAGATAGATAGATAGATAGATAGATCACTGTCCATCTTGAATTAGATAGATACATAGATAGATAGATAGATAGATGGATGGATGGATGGATGGATGGATGGATGGATGGATGGATGGATGGATGGATGGATGGATAGATAGATAGATAGATAGATAGATAGATAGATAGATAGATAGATAGATGATAGATAGATAGATAGATAGATAGATAGATAGATAGATCACTGTCCATCTTGAATACGATAGATAGATAGATAGATAGATAGATAGATAGATAGATAGATAGATAGATAGATAGATAGATAGATCACTGTCCATCTTGAATACGATATAGACAGACAGACAGACAGACAGACAGACAGACAGACATAGATAGATAGATAGATAGATAGATAGATAGATAGATCACTGTCCATCTTGAATTAGATAGATAGATAGATAGATAGATAGATAGATAGATAGATAGATAGATAGATAGATAGATAGATGATAGATAGATAGATAGATCACTGTCCATCTTGAATACGATAGATAGATAGATAGATAGATAGATAGATAGATAGATAGATAGATAGATAGATAGATAGATAGATAGATAGATAGATAGATCACTGTCCATATTGAATTAGATAGATAGATAGATAGATAGATAGATAGATAGATAGATAGATAGATAGATAGATAGATAGATAGATCACTGTCCATATATAATAAGTAGCATAGTGACACCATAGTGACTGAGACTGTACCAAACTGGACTGAGGAAGCCTTTGCTATGATCTAAAGAAACCCTTTAATTCCCCATACTGATTCCTATGACAGACTGAGTAAATTTACATTTCTTCCATTCTAGTGAAATTCTGTAAAGCTAATAACCCAGTTTGTAAAGAGTGCAGTTTGGACACCCTCGTGCTGATTTCTGCAGAATTGTGTGGGCTTTGTCCTTTTATAATGACAGAACTCTCCTGGAAATGTTGAGGCATTCTGGGTTTTTTTTTTCAAATGTCACAAGAACCAACAGCATTTCTGTATTTCCTGTGCTAAAACATTGGGAAGGTGGAGAATCAGGAACTGGTTGCAATGCATCCCACTCCACATCTAAATTAACAGAAAGATAGTTGAACTGTTTTCCAAGCTAAGAATCTGGCCAAGAGATGCATCTCTAGTAGTTATCTGGATTGTTTTCGGTTTAAAAAAAGCTCACATACTGAAAATTTCTTGTTGTCCTTGTATGGAAGCTGTTCTATGAAAAAACTTCCATTATATTTAGGGTTACTTTTTCTGCAATATTTCCAGCAATTAGTTAAATGCCTCAAGTTGGCCCAGTCCCTAGTTGAATGGGTCAGTGATTGTCATCTCAGTCTCTCCTCTGCAGAAATCTGTAGCTCTTCCAAGACCATCTAGTTTCATTTTAACCATCTTCAATAATTTCATTTTATTTGCAAACATGATTACAGCCTGGATCATTTATAATTCTAAATCATTTCTAAACCAGCAAGCTATTCTGTACAGTTGCTTAACAGACCCCACTCTTTACATACATACATACATAAAGGATGTAAGGAACATTCATTTACTTCTAGAGTCTGGTTTCAGTTTTTTTAAAACTTGTTACTAATTCATAAGAGGACCCAACTTGTTGCTACCTGCTTGTTTTGTGATATGCATTCTATCGGAGGTTCTTTTTATTGTGATTTTAAATCATCCTGGAAAGATTTGACCATCTTGGTTTTGTTGGAACTTTCTTTTGAAATCAACCGTGATTGCTAGGCTTGAGGTCCTGAGAGTTGCTCACTTAGCAACCTGTTGAAATTGATCTTGATGTTAAGTGATAGATTGTTCTACAGTACAATGATCTATGCTGTTGGAGAAATATGCATTGACCAAGACTATGCTAGAGAAATGATTGTCCAAATTATCACTGCACTATCTTCATTTCCAGTATAACCTTGGTATACTCCCCAGGGAACCATGGTACAATTCTCGTTCTACTAAATTACTTGTGGTTCCATGAAATATATCCTTTTAAAACGTTCTAGTTTGTTTGGCATGCCCAATTGGATCACTGCTGATTCTAAATTGAAACAATTTGCTATATGTTCAGCAGGCCCTCTCAATAAGCAAAAAATATACAAAAATGGAATTCATTTGTTTTTGAGTATGATATATATTGAGATATATAATGAATTAGAAGAATTAGCCCATTTCTTAGATATTTTGTAAACATGGCGATAAAAGTTGAATGCTTGTATGTGCATCATAAACTCATAACAATGTATGCAATGATTCCGTCACACTAAGTGAAATTTCAATAACCTGTTTAATTTCTTATCACTGTCCTACAGGTTTGGGCATTTTCCAGCAGTGGACCAATCTTTTCATCACCCTGTGTTTCTCCTTTTTCCAGAGATATATTCTTTGGGTCCCATGACTGCTTTATTTATTGCTGTAACAGGGAAGGAAATGTATTATGGAAGTTTGAAACAACATCAAGAGTTTATGCAACTCCATTTGTTTTCTGTAGTCCTAATTTGGACAGTAAAACATTTCTGGTAGTGACATCTACAGATGGCAGAATATGGATCCTGAATGCTAAGACTGGAGTGGCCGAAGGTAGAGGAGAACTTCCAGGAGAGATCTTCTCTTCTCCTGTCACCTGGGGATCGACCATTGTTGTAGGATGTAGAAACAATTATCTTTATTGTTTAGATCTATGTTTATCTAAAGCTAATAGAACTCTGTAACAATGAGCTTTTAAAGTTTTTTAATTTTCTACTTGAGAGCTAAATGTTTCCTCAGTATGAACTTTTTGGTCCAATATTTAGGGGAACAACACTAATTTGGCACTTGATTTAAAGCATTTTAAAGTACCAAGTCAAAACCCGTAGAAATCTGGGAGTTAAGTGCTGTGTATGGAGTGTTACATCCAAAATAGAGTATGATTCTTCTGGAAACCAGACGGATGAATATTTATTTATTTAAAAATTTAACACATTGCATAGCTAAATATAACATATTTTGGCAGAAATGATTTGGGGGTTGCGACTAGGGTGCGGGCTTAAGGCCCAAAATTAGGCTGTGTGAAAAATGTTATTGGATATTGCACATATCTAAAGAAATTACATGTTCAAGTTCAGGAGATTTTGGTATATGATAAATCTTACAGTATACTAAAATTCTAAGTATAATTATGAAGGTTGGAAAGATATTATCAAAAGACTAAGAGTTTATGACATCAATTTCAGAGAATATGCAAGATTTCCTTTCTTATAGTTGTTCTTTTTATTTAAGGTGCTATAACAAGGATATTATAATATAATATTCTTTATAATCATATGATTATCATTATATAATGATATTGCTATATGGCATTGGTGGCGAACCTATGGCACGGGTGCCAGAGGCGGCACTCAGAGCCCTCTCTGTGGGCACGCGCACCGTCACCCCAGTCCTAGGCCTTCAGCTGGGTTTTATAAAACCTTTTCGCTTTAGGCCTCCACCGCCGTGTGCAAAAAAAAAAAAAGTTTCAATCAGTCAATTCAACTTCTCGCGGGGAAAAAAAATCTTGCAAAGTTGGAATTGATTGATTGAACTTTTTAGTCCCACCCAGTCTGCCGTTACCACCGCAGCCACGCCCAGCCAATGGGCCACGCCCACCCGGCACCCGACGATGCATAAGTGGGTTTTGGGTTGCAGTTTGGGCACTCGGTCTCTAAAAGGTTCGCCATGACTGCTATATGGTATGGAACAGTAATACCCTACAAAGAATAATTATACATAGGAACCTTTTGAAATATGGATTCTAATTGAATCATTGTATGTCTTAATGGAAGGCCTAAAGACAGCAAAACAGGATTTCCAAAATTATGATTGGTTTATTTACCACTTTACCAAAAAGAAGCCAGCCATCTTACTACCTAGTGTGATCTTGAAGAATTGATCATCCATTTCGAAACTGGGTTTTCCTTGGTCTCGAAGACATTTCAGCAAAACTCTTGAGAGAAAAGCATTGCTCAGTCACCCTTTTTTTCTCCTCTCCTTGTACAATTGAGTCCAAAATTTCTGTTGTAAGCGAGATCTCTGTTCAGTGAATTTTGTCCCATTTTACAACCTTTCTTGCCACACTTGTTAAGCGAATCACTGCAGTTGTTAGGTGAATCTGGTTTCCCCATTGACTTCGCGTGTCACAAAAGACGATCACATAATCCCGGTACACTGCAACCGTCATAAATATGAGTCAGTTGACAAGTATCTGGATTTTGATCATGTGACTCATGAGAATTTTGCAGTGGTCGTAAGTGTAAAAATGATCATATGTCACTTTTTTCAGCGCCCTTGTGACTTCGAACAGTCACTAAACGAATTATTGTAAGTTGAGGACTCCCTACCTCCAAGGTCCCTTCCAACTTTATTAGTAATAGTAGTAGTAGTAGTAGTAATGCCAAGTATAGTTGTAATAAATGTGTTTCCTCCCATTACTAATTATCAAGGATGGCTTTACTAAAAGTTTACTTAACTCTTTCACAGCTTTATGATTTTTTGAAATGACTCAGCAAATAAATAAAAAGTATTTTCTATAGAAACACAGCTATTTTTATTTATATAGAACAGGTTTTCAGTGATGGACCATTTACATTAAAATTGTGACGATCAAAAACTGAAAATAGAAATTCTACTAACATATCCTTTTAGTCATTGTTAATTTTGCCCTGGTTGTAATATCTTCTAAAAACAGTTTTATTCATATATTAATTCAGGCTCTTGTTTTAAGGTAACCAGACACATTTCACAAAAGATAATGAATAAATAAACCTCCCAACTTTCAGCATATTATAGTTTAATTGGAATTAAAATGATATTAGTATAAGAAACAATTGCACTTTAAAACATTTGAAAAATTAAAAAAGTACACAAAACAAAATCCACAATTATACATGTTTATAATTTTATACACCACTTTATGAACAATTGAGGTTAATCATAACCTCAAACAATATTTTGCCTTTATCTAGAAAAAGTTACGCCCAACGCCTGTTAGTGTATAGGATAATTCAGTCACTGCTGATATTAGCTCCACTAATGCCAACCAGGCTTGGATATGATTAACTGTCTCTGGGTAAGGACCAAGTGTATGTTACAAAATAAAAATAAAATTGAGACCACATTGTGCAGAGTGGTTTGATCAGTTTTAAAATGTTGGAAGTTATTCCAGGTTTGTTTGTTTATTACGCAAGGCGGCAACAAAGCTTTAAGCAAAGTAACACTTCATTGGTATTTAGTGCAAAAGTTCAAGTTGAGCTTATGTGAAATGACAATGTTAAAACAGGCTGATAGAGATGTTTACAAACAAAGTATTTTATGTAGCCCAGCTTTGATCCAATCACTGATGCAGAAATCGAGACTGTTAGTACAAAACTCTGTTGCACGGAGGGCCAACAGGAATGCCTCCGTATGTGCGGATCAGCAGAGAATGCAATCCACCTGCTGTCTCACATCACCTGTTAGATAGAGCAAAAGGAAAGGATGCACCATTGCTGTCCAGGAATCTTTTAATGCTGAAGGCTAATTAGGGCTATACGTGTTGATAATAAATATGTTGGGAGTAAAATTGGGAGAACAGAGAAGCAAAGGTCCTATGGCCCCTTTACTCTTGTCCTGCTTCCCTGGACTGAATACAGTTTTAATTCACTATGGATCCTCATGCTTGAAAAGACTGCTTTAGAACTATTTACAGACTATAAGCTCTGCATTAACCATCTCTAGAATTATTTTGGGAGTTTTCCCCCCCTTTTCTCATGCAAATGACACCCACTTCCCCCGTAAAATTACCTGTTTTGCCCTTTCTGCCTCACCAATTTCCTCCACCCCGATCCCCTTTACTCCAACTCTGTTCTCCCAATCTAGAAGTCTCGTTGAGTTGGAGGAAATTTGAGAGATGTATACTATTTTTTTTTTTTTTTTTGCAATTGCATGTTGACACAAGTATATGCACATTAAAATGCTTGTAAAAATGCTGTAGGCCACCTTAGGAGTAGGGAATTGTGTTACCTTAGTCACAAGAAGCCTTTGCTAAATTTGCATCCACGTCCACTATATGTTATTTGTAGCATATTTAGTAGACGCTGTTCCTGGGGTCACCTAATCAAACATCACCTTGTCTCCGATAATGAAATCTGTAAATTGTGGGTGAGCAAGACTGAAATCCAGAAGAAACTCAAACTGTTCTTGAATTGAACAGCCAGATGAAGATATTTTACTGTTCCTAAAGATCACTTAGCTGCCATGAGGATGAATAAGAATTAACTCACTGTTACACTGGATGAAATCTTCACTCTTGATGTGAATGGCAAAAAAAAAAAGAGAGATAATTTTTCATTCTTCAAACCACCACCTTGGCTCTATATACTGAGTTACTAGGAGATCCTAAATGCATCCTTGAAGTTGTATTTCTAATAAGACTTTTCTGACCTGAAACAAGATGAGTTGTATGTCCTGAGTTCACATAAAATACCAAAGCGACAATGGCTACAAGAATAAGTTTCTTTGGGACAGTTACTCAGCTATCAAACTTAGCATCCTTGTGCTTCTCCATAAACACAACAAACATTTTCTCTGCCTGTTCAGTAAAGGCATCTGTTTGGTTGTCTTGGACCAAAATTCCTTGGATTAATGTTTTTGCTGATTCCAGATACATAGTGCGTGGGTTGGTTTTTGTTGTTGTTTTGAGGTGGAAGTTTTGAATGAGAATGTAGCTTGGTAGACTGCACTTTTATCTTAAAAGTGTTTTCATCCTAAACTGATGTTACAATTATGAGAAACAGAAATTCTGAATTCAAATTCTGTCTTGACCATTTTTTTTTACCCGGCAATCTGAAGTTTGGTGCAATAGAACACTATTTTCAAAATATTTACATGTCTAACTGGAAAATATAAAGCAATACTTAGGGGTAAAGAATTCGCATTTTCCTTACAATTATTTTTTCAAATCAAAGGCTTTCGTAATATCAGTCGTCAGAAGAGCCCACATGTCTATAAAACAGCAGCTGGCAGGAATTTGGCAGTCCCAATTCAGTTTCCCTAGTTAAACCAATTCCATAATCTTGAATCAGATCTAATTCCAGGTCAAAAAGTAATATCTATTAACAGAATAGCTATACTTTCACCTACTCTCATTAACAGAAATGCTCTGCTAATAGTTTGCAAAGGTAATGTGCAGTACATACATCTTACTGGAATGAAGTGTAAAGGGGCTAGATCAGTGATGGTGAACCTTTTAGACACCGAGTGCCCAAAACCACTCCACCCCCTGCCCTGCCCCCTGCCCCGCCTACTCCACCCCACCTCCTGCCCCCTGCAGGGCCACTTACCGCCTCCACGGCCTGCCGCAGCACATCGCCCAGGCAGCCCTGCAGCACCATGGCGGCCATGCAGCAGATGATGCTGTGGGGGCGGAGTCTTGTACCTGCTGCCTGGCTGCCATGTCCTTGGCTGCGCTTCTCCGCATGGGCCACAACCGGGTGTGACTCTCCTCCGGGGGAGCTGCTGGTGAGGAGGGGGCCGTTGGAGGTGGGGCTGGGGTGACTGCATGCGTGCCTACAGAGAGGGCTCTGAGTGCTGCCTCTGGCACATGTGCCATAGGTTCGCCACCACTGGGCTAGATTTTCCACCCTATTGTCTGCTGCCCTCCAGATGTTAAAACTCAACATTTCTGAAAGATAACAGACTGGAGAAAGTTGGACTAGCCTCTTTCAGATAACATGAATGGCTGGGGTCCAGAGTGTCCACCAAGTATGGTGCAAAAGCCAAGATGGTGTCACTGAAGCTCCACCCATTGTTTATGGGTAACATTTGTAGCTGCCGCCTGGACATCTGGGGATAATTTTTAAGTATATTTTTTCTCTCTTTTTTTGTACATCAGTTTTTTTTCTTTTTTGTTGTTAGTGCTGGATGTCCGTTTTTGTTTTGTTTGTTTTTCTGTTTTGTATTTTACCTTTTATGATAAAGACTGGAAATCCTAATACACTTCTCTCCAAATACAGTTGAGTTACTTATTCAGTATAGTGTTATTGTACAGGGAGTGAGGATAAAATAGAGGAGAGAAGAAGAGACAAGATATCCTGACTTTCCGTAGAATGAGGAGGCATATATAAATAAATAAGTTAAAATACTAATGTTGCATTAATATATTTCTGGATACGAGGGAAATGAAAATATAATAATGCAGTTTGCACAGGCTGTTGATGGCTTGGAGAATCATTTAGAGAAATACAAGTAGGGACTCTTTGATGTAACGCAACTTGAGTGTGTTAATTACCGAATCATTAAATACATTTGAGAAGCGTGACTAATGTTCAAAACTAAAAACCTCAGGAAAAACTCGTTAGGATTTTTTAAAAATGGTGCTTTCATTATTCCCAAATTACATTTCATCAGAGGCAAATTATTCAAAGTTATCTCGTAACTATGGCAGAAGCAGATCTTTCTTATTCCTGTACCTGAGTGGCATTTGTAAAATGTCCAAGTAAAAATAATATCTTTACCGGGAAGCTGACATTCAACAACACTGAAGCAGTGATTCTTAAAAGTGGCTTGAAACTCAAAATACCTGCTTAAACATTCCCCTCATGATCAACAGTTCAATGTCTCTGAATGGACAAAGTACGCCCTTAAATGTGTTCGGGAGCATTTGAGAATAGGAGTAAAAAAGGAGACAGCTCCCCAACCAGAGTAAAACACAAAAGCGAGATCCGTTTACTTGATGATCTGAGGACAGTCGCTCCACGCTTTCGCTTTTCTCTTGGCCAAGGCCAGCCAAGCAGGTTCAGTTGAGACGGGGTTCGCATCCGGCGTAGAGAATCTCTTGGTGACCTCTTTAGCCAAAGGGGACGATGAAAGGGAATCCGTGATCTCCACTGTGAGAGAATGAGGGAAAGGGAAACTGTTAACTGGACCATTGCGGAAATCTGTTACGTTAAGCCTGCCTTCCCTTGAGCAGAGCCCTTGGCATTTCGTTAGGGCAGCAAAGAAGCCGAGAACCAAGATCACAAGAGTCAAACAGCAACAAAGTATTTCGGGAGCAACTCTCGTGGTTCCAGTTTTACCTCACGAAGTAGACAGAAGCGTAGGTGCTCTGCAGAATAATAAAAATTATCTGAAGCACAGCTCTCCTTCCCACGCTGATAAGAGATTATTAGAACTGAAAGGCAGAAGCAACCGAAATTAAATGATATTTTTGCTATGTTTATTTTTAAGTATTATTGCTTTTTGGGTCTTCCTTACTTCCGTGGGGGTGGGGGGGGTGTTTTGGGGGGAGGATAGGCTTCCACACAGCACCCTAAGCATGGACTTTACTAGTTAAAAGGCCACAGGTTACCTGGCAGAGAAAGAAAAATATGTTGGATAATAATAATAATAATAATAATAATAAATTTAATTTATATGCCGCCCTTCTCCCGACGGGACTCAGGGCGGCGCACAACATATACCCAGCAAATACCCCAAAACCAAGAATATGTCACCGATAGGCAGACTTTCAAATGTCTGCGTATCTGTAACACATTCTTGGTTTTGGGTTCTGGTTTAAGACGGTCTCTTAAAGCAACTGGTACGCTGAACACAGGTTAAGACACTTGCCTGCAGAGAAATCAAAATTTGTTTCTGCTATGTTCTTTTCTGTATATGATAACACAACAGCTGAAAATTTGTTTTTTTCCTTTATAATTTCACCAAGGTTTAATAGGAAGGCAAGAAGTTAACAGATGATATTTTTTTTAATTTGCCGATTAACATTACCAATAATGGAGTCTTTTACGGTTTGGGCAAAACAGCAGTCAATTTTCCACCAAGAGGTTGGCTTTCATTTCTTCTCCGTACATGTAAGATGAAGTTAAGTGTTCAAGGAAGTGAGGAAGAAGAGGAAGAATTCAGTGCTATGTTTTAATGAGTGAATTTCACAGCATCCACAGAGGTAGTCAGATAAATCCAGATTTTAAAAGATGAATGCGGTGACATTATGACATTGTCCCTGTTTTGTATTTGTGGGTGGCCACGATGGTGGATATGAGTAAGAATAGGATGGATACCAGGCTCGTATCCTATAGAAGGCTAGGCAAAATTGCATTTAAGATTATTCCCACCTTCATGGGAACAGCCGCTAAATCTATTCATTGATTAAAGAGGTATCACCCTGAATTCTTGCCCAAATCAGAGGCTCCAGGAAGAGGAGTCGACCGATTCGTGACTGCACAGAATACAGAATTGCTCTTTCCTTTTACAGCTTAGCCCTTGACTTACAACAGTTCATTTAGTGACCGTTCAAAGTTACAATGGCACTGAAAAATGTGACTTAGGACCGTTTTTCACACTTAGGATCCTTGCAGCATCCCTGTGGTCATGTGAACAGAATTCAGATGCTTGGCAATTGGTTCATACTTATGACTGTTGTTGTGCCCCAAGGTCATGTGATCATTTTTTTGGACCTTCTGACAAGTCAGTGGGAAAGCCAGAATCACTTAACAACCGGGTTACTAACTTAACAACTGCAGGGATTCACTTAACACGGCAAGACAACTTGTGAAATGAGGTAAAACTCACTTAACAAATATCTTGAAATTTTGTTCTCAGTGGTGGCTGTAAGTTGAGCAGTAAGTTGAGAAGTAAATGATTCAGTGATGCTGTTTTAATTGGTCAGATATTGCCTTTATCTGGATGCAATCCAAAGTATTTTTTGAATTTGATATTTGGAAGATTGCCTTTCAAAAGAGGATAAAATAAGTATACATTATGGTGCTTAATTTAGATCTTCCACAACAATAACTTATTCTGATGGTTATGGCTCTTTTATATGAATGAGCTCCATCATTTAACGTTATTTTATGTTACTAGCAGAGCAACAATAAATTATATGAAGTGCATACAATTTTATGGAGACCTGCCTATTGGGTCCTGCCTTTCCATAAAATAAAATTAGCCCACTCCCTCTGCCTTTATCACCCAAAGCTATTGCTTATTTTTTTAATCAGTGAATTGGTTTTTAAGCCTGAATGACAGCATTTAAGAACTATTCAAAAGGAGCCATAATTAAGAAGCAGAATAATCTGGAGACAATTTCTTCAGTAAACTTCGTGGAACAACCCATTTATTATATCACCACATCATTTGCTTACCATAATAACTTATAATCGCTTAATATCTTAACTGTCGGCCACATTTGTATCCAGGCTATATTTATTAATTGAGAAAAAGCAAGTTTGGACTTGGAATTTGCTTCCCTTTGACCTGGATGACTGAAAATCTCCACAGATATTTAGCTATGCCCTTTGGGATGAACACCCTTCAAAAGGTGCGGGAGTATGAATGGATTTCCAGAAAAAATGGCGGATGACAGGATTCAGGTGACCTTGAAGGCACAGGTAAACCTCCAAGTGGCCTGCGCAACTCTCAGAAAGAGTGCTAACAACCAGATGACTGCAAGGAATATCAACCTTTCCATTCTCCACCATTCAGTCAGAACTGAAGAAGCTTCTTGAGTGAGAAGTGAAATGTCTTCAAGCAAAACAAGAAAGTCTAGTTGCCTTTTGAAAGAAAGCACCTTTGGGACAGTGAAAAACCTACGACCGTTTTTCACACTTATGACCGTTGCAGCATCCTGATGGTCATACGATCAAAATTTGGATGCTGGGCAACTGATTCACATTTATGACGGTCGCAGTGTCCCAGGGTCATGTCATGACCCTTTGGGACCTTCTGACAAGCAAAGTCAATGGGGAAGCCAGATTCACTTAACAACTGTGTTACTAATTTAACAACTGCAGTGATTCACTTAACAACTGTGGCAAGAAAAGTTGTGAAATGGGGCAACAGAAAATTTGGGCTCAGCTGTGGTCGTACGTCGAGGACTATCTGTATGAGACACGCTCCTGCGTTTCTTAATTTAAGCAATCTCTCATTCTGTTCATCGCTTTCTTGGAAAAAGGCTTGTTTTCCTAAAAAAAAATCCTTAACTGTACTATGAAAGATACCGGCACATTGGAAATACACAAGTCAACAAAGTCTTACATATTCAACCATCTCAGAAATAAAATTGCAGCCACAATCGCGGCGCAAAATGTAAATCATACCTGTGACCGATGAAGGCAGAGTATTCGATTTTTTGAGCTGTTCTCTGCGTTCAAATCTTGATGTGGCCGTCTCGATTTTTTTCTCCTCTTCCGAGACTGTGGATTTTTGCAGTATGTTTGACTTGCTCGTATTATTGCTTTTATTATCTGCCAACTGGTTGTTCATGCTGGCCTAATGTAAAAAGCAACAGTACAAACGTGCTAAATATCAATATGTTTACAGCGCATACTCATATATGTTGACTCAAAAGTAGAAAGCATGGACCAAGGACGAGTTAGAGAGCACTTGTAAATGCTTGCTATTGTTCTGTCCCCCGTCCGACTCACACACCCCAACCAGTCAGCCGAGGGCTGAGAAACTGCTCAGCACAGCCAAATACAAATGAACACTTGGCAGCAACTCTGTGGCTGCCTGCCAAGGCTTTTACTGACAACACAATACAAACATACGATAAGTCCAGGATAAATTGCCGGAGTGCTGCAACAGGAGATTCAGCAAAATTGTTCGTCACAAAAGTTTCAAACGGCACACCCCTTGCTTATATAGCCTGTGGGGTGTGGCCCAGTGACTCAGCTGAAATCTCTGGCACGACGTTTCAGCTGCTGCGCACGCTTGTCCCTCCGACGCTGGTGTGGATCCAGCCAAGACGTATCCTCCTCGGAGTTCGATACACCTGGCTCCTGGCCAATCCCAGAAGCACCTGGCTCCTGGCCAATCCCAGAAGCACCGGGCTCCTGGCCAATCTCCTCTCCGTCGGAAGGCACCGAAGGCCGCACCAGAGGGGAAGGTCCTGGAGAGGGAGGCCTGGCCATCTCCTCTCCTTCATGTTCAGAGCCTTCCTCCTCTGATGAGAGGGACCCACAG